TCCACCTGCCCCTGTCTGCCTCTCTGGCACTAGGATCACAAGCAGGGATCAAGCTCAGACCCTTACAATCACAAGAAACATGCTTTAATGACTGAGCTCTTGCTCTGCCCTGCCAGGCCTGTTAAAGTCTGACTAGACTTAATATCTGCATGACCCTGTAAGTTTGGTTTCTGACCCTTGTGCTTTATCTTTATTTTTGGTGGTGCTGGGAATTGAACCTAAGACTTCGTGCATGTTAACGAGGCACTTGGGCCTTGACGTACTGTCTTTTGGATATGGGACTCAGGATGTAGTCATCAAGGCCATTTAGCCCAAGGGACAAAGTCTTCATTTAAACTCAAGCCCATGGGGTCTGAACTCCTGATACTAGGAGACTTAGGCGCCCCTCTGAAGCCCAGGCAGGCTGCCCTGGTTTGATAGTGGCAGCTTAATGCCAGGGCACAGAGGGCCAGGAGGGCACCTCCTCCTTCTGTAGGCAGGCCTCTCCACAGCGGCTGCCTGCAAGCCATCACCTGTGGGTTGGGATATACCTTTTTTGGGTCCCAAACTCCCTCATCTTTTCTTGTGTGCTGTGGGAAGGAAGAGGTCACCATGGCAACCTCACCACCTGGCAACCTAGCATTGGTCCCAAACCTGCTGCCAGCGCCTCTGGGACAGTTCTTCTTCCCCGGCCTTGGACCCAGAAGCCATTAAAACTATGAGTAAACCTGGCACAGAGAGTCTTAAGAGCCCTCAAGTGAGTGAAAGCCCTCAGTGTAGAGACAGCAGGAGACGTGGGAATAGTCAGTTCCGCAGGCAGGGAGATGGGTGCAGACCGTAAGCGAAGTGCTTCAGGGGAGGGCTGTGTACCGCAGAGAACAACTGGCCGCCAACGGATGTTCTTCCCTTTCCTCTCTCTGATGCCTAAATTGGGACACGAGAGAAGCTGGCAGACCTGACTACAGACCTGACTGTGGCCTCAGTGAAAGCCTCGCCTTCCGGGACCTCATGGAAATACTCTTCCTATCCCACGTGGCCTTTCAGTTTCCTCCACAGCGGTATTCTGTGCGTGTGTGTATGTACATACGTGTGTATGTATGTATGCAGGTGTGTGTGTGTGTGTGTGTGTGTGTGTGTGTGTATGTCACATATACAGACAGGAAAAGGAATCCCAGGCAAGGAGCCTGTGGCTACAACCTAAGGCAGAAGCTCCACCAGGTGTCTGCTAGCATTCGCTGCTCACCTGAGAGGAACTTAACCTGAGCCGTCACAAACAGTGGGTCCATCATGGCTGGGGCTACCTTCACCACAGGACTCAAGATCATAGCGACTTGTTTAAGAAGTGGAGACACGAGCTGGCCAGGTGACCGAGGCTGTGGGAAGATCAGAGGCTAAATGTATGGCTTGCCTTATTTCTTCTCCTACCTCCTCTTCTTCCTACCACCACCCTGCCCCCTTCTCCACCCTCTGCCCTGCCCCCCCCCCATGCCCAGGGTCTCATGTAGCCCATGACAGCCTTGAACTCCCTATGCAGCCAAGGACAATCTTGAACTCCTAACCCTCCTTCCCCTGCCGCCTGAGAGCTGGGATTACAGCTCATGCCAGGACAAGGACAGGTGCAGGCCGGTGTGCTGCCCCACCCAAATACGGTGCCTGTGTCCCAGCTTCTGACAGGCCTGGGAACTTGTGAGAGACAGGACACTTTGCGCATCGCCTGGGCCATCTGGTTCTGTGCCAGAACAGCCTCTGAGGTGATCTGGCTTCAGCCTGTTCCTGTTTGAAAAGACCTGTCACGGGCTGGGGCTGTCACTCAGGGGATAGAGCACTTGCTTTGTGGAAGCACTGAGTTCCATCCATGGCACCCCATAAACTGGGTGTGGCGGCAGACCCCCGTAATCCCAGCTCTCAGGATGTGAAGGCCAGAGGATCAGGAGTTCAAAGGTCATCCCTGGCTACACAGCAGGTTAGAGACTAACCTGGGCTACAGGAGACCTTGCCTCAAAAACAAAACAAACACACACCACAAAAACACTAGTGCTTCCTTGCAGTTCAGCCTGGCTTGGAGGCTGGCCAGGTAAAGCCCTTGTTTCTGTCCCTTGTGTGGCCACCAGTCACACCTGTACTTTAGGCCCCTGCCGAGAAGATGGGTCTCCCCTAACCTGCTTGGGGCAGAAATGCAGATACTCCTTGGCAATGCAGACCAGAAAGAGGGGGTCCAGCTTTTCGAAGTACTCGGGACTCAGGGCCAGGCCCTGCATGCTGGAGAAGTGCAGCTCCACTGCCTCCTTCAGGAGCGCGGTGGCCTCTTGCTCAGGCTTCTGCTTCTTAGATGCCACGAGGGCTTGCAGGAAGACCAGCACCTGTGGAAGAGAGGCTTGGGGCTCGGAGCCGAGGCTGGCCATTTGGACCGCCTTCTGCTGGAGACTCCATTAGCTCTGACCTCAGACTTCCCGAGGGACTGCTGCACCTCCCTGAGGAACTCCAGCTGGTGCGCCGCCTCCTCCAGCTGGCCCTGCAAGATCTGGCACCAGATGCTCCCTGTAGATGGGACAAGAACGAAGCTGAGCAGGCAGCAGAGTCAGCAGCCGGGCCGATTCAGGGGCAGACTGAGAGGGGAAAGGAAGGGCCCAGGCAGGAGGTCGCCTCACATCTTCACAAACTGCAGGTCAATTATCCCCCATTCATGTGTTGGCTTAACAATGGCTCCAAGTGAGAAGCACCATTAACCATGTGACGTTTAATCCTTCACACCGTTTTCTAGTATTTGTGACTAAAGTACACACAGCAACACGTAACCCAAAGAGCTACAGATTTAGGGTCTCAGGGCATAGCATGCATGGAGCCCTGGGTTCAGCTCCTAGCATGGGCAAGACTGTGTATGTGCAAGCACATGCATGGGCTCGTGTGCCATGCTGTACGTGTGGAGGTAGAAGGCAACTGTGGGCGCTGGCTCTTTTCTAGGGGGTCTTGGAGACGGAACTCGGGCTGTCAGGCTTGAAGAAGGCCACTTTATTACTCAGCCATCTTGCTGTCCCTACGAAGAATTTAAACATGTCCTTCCTTACGGCCCCAGACTCGGCTCAGTCTTTACCAACCTGAGTTATAAAGGGAGGGGCTGGCCAGGGGCTTAGCAGGTAGGAGCGCTGACTGCTTCTGCAGAGGACCCGACTTAGGTTCCCAACCCTCGCAACAGAGGGCTCACAACTGCCTGCAACTCCAGCTCCGGGGGGTCCAACACCCTCTTCTGACCTCTGTGGGGGTGCGCATGCATACACACACTCACTCATACATGTACATCCCTCTCAGGTATACACACAACGTCAAAGAACCAAAGGAATGAGTTCTAATCCATATTCTCCGGATTATTAGGGGGAATGAACATATTTTTATATCTTTACGTTGGTGATGTTTCGATCACACTGTGAATTTGCTATTTGTAGCCCCCTTCTTTTCATTAAAGGTGACTGCTTCTATAGTGGTAGTGTAGTAGGGACTGAAGGCCTCACACCTGCCAGGCAAACACTTACTAAGCCATGTCTGCCTGTTTCTTTTTATAGACTAGGGTAATTAACTTGTGTTTAATCATTATTTTTGAGAGAAGGTCTCATGTAGCCTGGGCTGGCCTCCGAAGCTCTACCTAGCTGGGGATGACCTTGAACTCTTGATCCCTGGCTTCCCCCTGCTGGGATGACAGGTGCACACCTACACACCCAGATGATTCTGCCCTTTACTCAAGGGACAAAACAGAGTATCCCACAGGGGCTGGAGAGATGACTCAGGGGTTAAGAGCACTGACTACTTTTCCAGAGGACCCAGATTCAATTCCCAGCACCCACGTGGCAGTTCACAACTGTCTACAATTCCAGTTCTAGTGGACCCAACACCTATGGATAAACGCCGACCTTCCCATCTTTGCTGATGTAGGATGTGGGTGCTCCAGCCACAACATGGATCAGTCCTGGGCTTCCATCTAAATCGGTGGTTTCACTGGAAGATCCCCATAGGAGGGTACCCCTTAAACTCATACACAGTCTGGAGAGCAGGATACCACCCTGCCCGGCCCGTGGAGACCTGCCAAAGCAGCTAGCCGGTTCTCTTCTAGCTTCATGGCCTCCTTGTACCACAAGCATGCTTCCTTCACTTGCTGCTGTAGAATGAAGAGATAGCCCAACTCTGTGGCCACAAGGGCACAGGAAGGTGTGGTCATGAACATGCGCTCCAGGAAGCCGCTCACAAGTCGCTGGACCGCCTGGTGCCTCCCGCACTGCCAAGAGTGGACAGATAGGAACAGAGGGTCAGTCCGGCTGCCTGGGTGAAGCTACACCAGAAGTGGGGGCATTTCAGAAGAGCTGGGAAGGACGCAAAGAGCCCAAGACATACCTGGGATCTGTACGTAGCTAGCTATCCATCTTCTGAGGAACCTGCCTCCAGTCATAGTGTCCTCCAAACACATCTTGGCTGGCCAAAGTAACTGATTTTTTTTTTCCTTTGAGAGAGGGTTTCTCCGTGTCCTGGCTGTTCTAGAACTCTCTCTGTAGACTAGGCTGGCTTCGAACTCACAGAGACCCATCTGCCTCTGCTTCCCAAGTGTTGGGATTAAAGGTGTGCGACACCACCACTCAGCAGTAACTAATCTTAGTAGTTACCAACAGGTTGTTTTGTGTTTGTGACAGGGTCTCATGTAGCCCAGGCTGGTCTTTAATTTGCTATGTAGCTGAGGCTGGCCTTGAACTCCTGATCCTCTGCCTCTACCCTTTGAGTTTTGGGATCATAGGCATCACAGCTCCCAACTTATTACCAGAAGGTGGGGTTTGGTTTTGTGGGTTTTATTATATTGCATTGCATTGTATTGTATTATATTTATTTATAAATATATTATTTATATATATTTTACATGGATTGGTGTTTTGTTTGCATGTATGTCTGTATGAGGTTATCAGCTCCCCAGAACTGCAGTTGCCATGTGGGTGCTGGGAACTGAACCCGGGTCCTCTGGAAGAGCAGTCAGTGCTCTTAACCACTGAGCCATCTCTCCAGCCCCTGCTTTTATTTTTTTATCTAAAGCTTGTGGAAAAGCTATTTGAGTTTGGTGATGGGAAGTGGCTGTGATGAACCATGTCCCATGCCACATAAGGACACAGCTGAGGAACTCAGACACACACACGGAGGGGGACAGTCACCCAGCAGCACTTAGCAACCCCGTTCTGGTCTCTGCAGCCCAGGGTTGGCTTCATTCTTAGTTTTTCCTGTAAACCTTTCTTGGAGTGAATGTTCTTACAAAAGACAAGTTCTTTGGCAACTTTGTCTGGACCTTCGATGCCAGAGGCCCAGGTGGACTGTCTGTTAGGTCGCTCCTATGAGGAGAATATGGATCCTGAACAGGGCTGGCTTCGTTCTGCATAGCAGAGGCAGTGGTACCTTCCCCATGGCTGACCTGTCACTCTAGAAGCCCTTCAGACCCCATCTCCCTGGTCACTGTAGCACCTCCGTGGGGCGCCTTGCTGGAGGACATGTGGTCATATCATGTCTCTATTATCAGGGGAAGGGGAGAGGGTGGGTGCTCAGAGCATAGAGAGAAGCCAAGGTCTTCTCATGGGGGGGCGTGGTCAGAAACCGGATGCTGCCTACTTACCAGTCTACTGACCACAAGAATCTTCTTAAGGTGGAGGCTGGGATTCTGGGGTTCTCGAGTCTCTAGTGCCTTGATGAGATTTTTAACATGATCAGTAGCCTGCAGGGACAAAACAGACAATGTGGGGGGTTGGGGTCATACCTTAGGTGGTTGAGTGCTTGCCTAGCATGCATGAAACCCTGAGGTACACAGCATAAAACCACGCATGGTGGTGCATGCCTATAATACCAGCACTCAGGAGGTAGAAGTAGCATGGGGGGGGTCAAGGACATCCTTACTACACAGGAAGTTCCAGATCCTGTCTATAAATGGAACAAAGCACAACTGAACCCCAAAACACAGAACCAGAGTTGTGCAGAACTTTTTTCAATCTTGACTGCACATTAGATGGGCCACTAATCACTTAGCTCGGATGCCACCCTCTGGGATTCGGCTTTGCCTCTCCCAGATGACCCAGGCAACAGAACTATTTCAAAGTCCCACAAGTGGAGCCTGAAGGGCCACATTCCCTCCAGGGATGACCCTGGCCCTTGCCCTGAGTGTGAGAGGAAGCTGCCCTGACAGCCCCACTAAGGCAGAGGCCATTGCTCTAAGTGACCTCATGTGACCACACGGTTGCCCTTAAGTCCCTGCCTGCAGCCTGCAGTCTGCAGTAGTCAAGTCCTCAGCTCTGTTCTAAAATGTGGGTAACAGGGCACCCCTGTTGTTCCAGTGGACCTTCTACAGTACTGTAAGTGGGCGTTGCTGTCCGGACTCCCCAGCACAGCAGAGGAAGAGGTCAGGAAATCTGGGAGGGGCACCCAGTCACCCAGGCAGCTGATACTGGAGCCTTCCTTGTGTGCTTGACTCTCCTGCCCACACCGCAGCGAGGGAGAAGCCCAGGGACTCCGAGGGAATGCCTGACATCATGAGTTCTAGCCCTGGGACCCACGTGGTGGAGGAGAAGGTTGGACATCCTGCAGGTTATCCTCTGACTGCTACCCATTTGCCCCCCTGCCCTCTGCCCCACCCCGGGTCCCCAACACGGATTCAGAAAGCAAGAGAAAGGGAGAAAAGGGGAGGGGGAAGGAGCCCAGCTGGGGCTGCTCTCTTCAGTGAGACAGGATTAGAAGTATGCAGCCAGGGCACAGGCTGGCTTGCTTGCTTGCTCGCTAGGGAAGCCCCAGAACTTGAGGTGGGGGTGGAGACGGGGCACGAGATGCTGACCCTGCTGCTATCAGGCCTGATGAAGGCCTGTCCAGGGTTTTCCCCTGGTACGAACTGTCTCTCTATGTCACCCCAACCCAGAGACCCATCTCAGGGCTCTGCTGACGGGAGGAACCAGAACTTCCTTTCTCCTACGGGGACCCCATCCTATGCTAGCCTCATCAAAGGACGGTGCATTTCTGGTTATTTCAGAGGCAAAGCCAGGGTTGAGGTGGAGCTGGGGCTACAGTGGGTTCCTCTGTATCCCATCTGCTCAGTGCTTCCTTCTCAGTCAGTGCCCTCTCCTCCCTCTGTCTCTTTCTGTCTTGTGGGGGCGGGGTCTTGACCTGAACTCCTTATCTGATCATCCTGCCTCAGCATTGAGTATGAAGAGCTGTCCCTGGCTCAGCTTCTGAGTCGTGGGGTGACTCACCGTGGCCGTGTTTCCTTCCCTCACAAGTTCGTGCACAGTTAGAATTTGCCAGGCATCAATATTGCTTTCGTCTTTTTCAAGGATTCTGGAATTGGACGAGAAAGACAAGAACTGACAGTGTTCACAGTTCAGCGAGGATGGGATATTGGAAACATCTGATTGTCTTTTAAGAGCCATTCCTTTTCATTTAGTTTTATTATTTTGTAATTATATGTATGTGTGTATGCCTGTTTGATCCCCCGAAGCTGGAGCTACAGTTGTTATTGTAACTCAGGCTGGCTTCAAGATCCTTCTGCTTCCACCCTCAGAGAGCTGGGATTACAGGTGTATGCCACCGCACTTAGCTCAGAGTTACTCAAATTAACAACAAAATTGCAGTGTGATTGGGGGTAAGCCACCCTGGAAGAGGTCTAGCCAGGGCTAACGACTCTGAAAGCACTGGAGACCCCAAGGCAGGAGCTCTTGCTGTTTTCCCATTTGGAAGCCAAAACCACAAAGCAAAGCAAAACAACTTTTAGGTGGCTCAGGGGATAACGGCAGTTGCCACACAAGAGGGGTTCTCTCCCTAGTCCCCAGGACCCACATAAAGGGTGGAATGAGAAAGTCAACTCCACATTGCTGTCCTCTGACCTCCACACTTGCCATGGTACATGTGAGACTGCGCGCGCGCACGCAGTCTCTCTCTCTCTCTCTCTCTCTCTCTCTCACACACACACACACACACACAAACGAGAAAGAGACAGAGAGAGAGAGAGAGAGAGAGAGAGAGAGAGAGAGAAACCCTGTCTCGAAAAACCAAAAAAAAAAGTACACAAAAGTAACACACCTTTACACAGTAAAGTAATATTCTACAGCTTCAACACATCTCTGCCAGTTAAAATAATAATCCAGTCAGGACCCAGGACCCTCAAACTCTGTGGTAGAGTGCTTCTGTAGCTTGAAGAAGGCCCTGAGTTTCATCCCCAGCACCCCAGAATACCTAAAAGGCAGGAGGCCTGGCACGTGGCTCTTCCCTCACCTGTGTCCGGTTTCTACTGTCTGGTCCCAATCTTGCCGAGCCAGGAACAGCCTCATCTTCAGGACTAAGGCCGGCAGGAAGTTCCCTGAGGCCATAGTGACCTGGTTCACCACCTCTAGGGCCCCGGAGAAGTTCTGCTGTGTCAGGTAGTATGTTGCCTGTGGGAGCCCAAGAGAAGAGGCGCACCAGTGATGCAGGGGTGGGTTTCAACATCAGGGGATGTGGGGCAGGATGGGCAGTCCAGATCTTTCTGACCCGCCTAGAGCCCAAAGACCCAGAGTTTAACTGCAGCGGCCCAGCTGTCAGGTAGTGAGCTGGGAAGATGTTTATTCTGTGTGACTGGGGACTCAGTGTTAGTCACTGTTCCCCCGGGGTGTCCCCCCAGGAGCTCTGAGGGGCTTAAGGGCTGGGAAGGCTCAGTTGGCAGAGTGCTTGCCTAGCATGCCTGAGCCCGCTCCCTCCTGTCCCTCTGTGATCTAATGATGATGTAGTCATTTTGTAAGGACAGACAGACACATAGAAAGATAGTAAGAGATCAGTTTTCTTCTCTCAAAGGTGGAGCAATGAGGGTCACAAAGGAAAATAAAAAAATTTCATTCAAATTAAGATCAGGAAATGCAAAACAGGCAGAGTGCATGCCTCCCTTTTCTTGTGGCTGCTAAGTAACTAACAAGTGGGGAAGTGGGGGGAAGTTGGGGGTAGAAATGGGAGGAGTGAAAGTCAGAGGTGGAAGAGGCCAAGAGGAAGGCGGCCTGACTCAGTCCCAGACAAACTGAAGAAGGTACTGCCAGGCCACTCTCACCGCCGTTAGACCAACATTGGGCAGGTGAAGGCAGCAGGAGCAGGAACTCAGGGCTAGCCTTAGCTACATAGTGAGTATAAGGCCAGCCTTGGGTACATGAGAGCCTATCTCAAGACACCAAACAGGGACTAGAGATATAGTCCAGTGGCAGAGGGCTTGCCTGGTGCGTGCAAAGCCCTGGGCTCAATTCCCTAGCATTCAAAACAATACAGAACTGCCACACAAAGCAAGGAGGAGTGGGCTCTGGACTGGTGTGACTGTGGGCGGGCTGCTGGCCCTTTCTGGGTCTGCATCTCAGATCTGGCCTGAGTTCACCTGGCAGCTCTTTGGAGCCAGCCAGAGACCCCCCACTTCCCTCTGCTCACCTTGCCCATCAGCCCCAGCACATCTTTGGTGTCATGAGTTCCTTGTTCCAGGTACTTGATGGATTTCTTCACGACGTGGGGTTTATTGGAGGTGAGGTCTACCCAGCCTTTGAGCACGTAGCCCTGGGGGTAGAACAAGCGGGAAAGGTAAAAGTCCTGGGTCCTTCACAGCCTCTTCCCGAGCTAGCTTATGTCCTGCCCTCTACCATCTTCACATCGCTGGTGGGCATCACCTCATGCAGATCCCAGCGGGCTATCTCCTCTGCCAGGTGGACACTCCTACCTGCATTGCCTGTGACATCCTGCCACCTCTCACCTTCCAAATCAGTCCACATCCATCTCCTAAGGACTCACAACTTAGCCTGGCAGCTCGCCCCTCTCCGGAGACCTCTCCTACCTACATCCCCACTGCTCCCCACATCCCCACAGCTCCCTGTCGCTCCACACTCAGGCCCCTTTCCTGTATCTGCAGAGACTGGTCACTGCAGTCAGGTTAACATCCCTGGGGCTTGGGCGGGGTTGCTCTTGGTCCTGCACACAGCTTCTTCCAGTAGGGAAGGGCCAAGCCTGGGAGCAGCATTGGAAGAGTGGGGCGCTTGGGAGAAGCCCGGCCTTGAACACCCCTTGATAGTCCAGTGCAATGCTTCTCTTTTCTCCCCTAAGGAGACAATGCCTCCGTCTAGAGCTACGCACAGTGCATCTCTGTTTCAGACATGTCAGTTCTCACCCCTCCCCATGGACAAAGGCTTACACTCGTGAACATTGCTACGAGGCTTTCCAAGAATGTACAGCCTGAATGGACTTCCAGTCCCAGCATCAGCACCAGCATGAGGTACTGACCACTCAGGTCCATCAAGACGCTACAGAGAGGGCAGAGCCCTGGGTGTCTGACAGCTCACTTGGGTTTTCAAAAGAACCAGGGAACCTGAACTTTCGCTTCTTACTTCTTTCCTTTTGAGACAGAGTCTTGCCCTATAGCCCAGAATGGCTTCTTGCTTGCCTCCCAGGTGCTACAGGGACAGGCATGTGCTACCATCACACCATGCCTGATTGTCTATTTAAATTTTATGATTTCTTTAAAGTTATTACATTTATGAATGTATACATGTATGTATATAGTTAGCATGTGTGTGTATGTGTGTGTTCACACATGTGCCACCATATGGGCTCCAGAGATCAAACTCAGGTCATCAGGCTTGGGGGTAAATGCCTTTACCTACTGAGCCAGCTTGCCGGCCAAATGGTCTGATTTTCTACATGTCAGCACCTAATTCAAGATGTTTAAAGAATACTGTGGCAGAGGGTGATCCAGAGAATGCTTAGTGGTTAAAAGCATTGGCCTGCTCTTCTAGAGGACCCTGGTATGAGTCCCAGGACCCACATGGTAGCTCACAACCATCTGTAACTCTAGTTCCAGCCATCTAGCAGGCATGTGGTGCATGGACATAAAAGTGGTCAAAACAACCAGAAAAAATAAGTTCAAAACAAGTATTAAAAAATGTTATATTGGGATGGGTATGTCCGGCAGAGTGCCTGCTTTGGGTTCCATTCCCGGCCTTGAATAATAAGTGCACCTCCAGCACTCTGGAGGTGGAGGCAGGGCAACAGAAGTTCAAGGCTATCCTTGGCTACAGTGTAAACTGCTGTGAGCTACGGGCAACCTCGTGCAGCCGCAGGGTCAGGCTTTGAGTACGACAGCCGGTGCCACCGTCACCAGGAGCAGCTGTAAGCACTCACAAGCCACTCTCAAGAGCAAGGCTGTTGTGCTCATTCGCAGGAGGGGTTGGGAGCCTCATGTAGACCAGCTTGCACCTCACTGCTGGGTGCATGTCATTTTGTCCTAATTGCAGGTGACTTTGTGGTCATGGGAGGTGCTAAGGTACATATGGGGGGGGGTCCTTTCAAGGCAGATTCTGTCTGTGCAGGATTGGTCATTCAGGCTGTGGTGAGGTTGTTTTGGTTTATGTGGCTGCTTTGGGATCAAGCCCAATAGACTCATTGTTCTACCAAGTTGGGCTTTAGAGGAATTGTGCTTTGGTCTGTCCTTGATGGGTGAGTGTGTGTCTGTTTGCGTCTCTCAGGAAAAGCTTATGCACAGACCCTGTCTCAAAAAAAAAAAAAAAAAAAGACAGGCCATAGGAAAGCAGTCTAGAGACAGGACACTGTTGTGCACGAATGTGATGCGGCTTTAGACAAGGTACAAGTGTGAGGTCCAGTGCCTGGATGTGGCCCTGGTCCCAGGGCTTTCAGGGAGTAACCCTGACAATGTGTCTGGATACTGCTTTGCTTGGCTGTGGCCCTGAGATGCTCTCGTACCTCTTTGGAGCCACTGTAGACCTTCAGCATGTGGTCAACATATTCCCTGGCCTTGTCGTGGTGGCCAATGAGCCAGAGGAAGAGGCTGGCGTAGTACAGGGCAGTGTCACTGGCCGTCTTGCGGATTTCCTTCAAGTTACTCTCCAACTCCTGAACTGCTTCTCCGTCTAAACCCGGAAGAGAAAGAGGCCGAGTGAAGGTCAAGAGGTTCTCATCTGATGCAGTGTATCCTCTGCACCAGCGACCTCTGCCCCATGGGAGTGTGTACGCATGGGCTCAGCTTACTGTCTGGAAGGCACCCCTCCCCATTCCACATTCATCGGTGCGCTGAACAGATGGACTGAGCCTGAATCCCTAAGTGAGGTCCATGCCCTATACTGAGCGAGAAATGGGGGTCTACATTGGCACCTCTCTCTCACTCCCTAGAGACTCAAGATTAAAAGCACAATTATTTAGAATGGCTTTCTTTCTTCCTTCCTTCCTTCCTTCCTTCCTTCCTTCCTTCCTTCCTTCCTT